GTCTGGTGAGTGAGATGGCCGGGGCCCACTTTATTTAAAAGGTGGCAACGCATCTGCAACCCTACGGGCGTTGCAAATGTCCATGGGCGGCGGTTATCACTTAACATTAGCTGAATTGCTGGGTAGTTTGCCACTTTCTCACATAAGAAAAAAATAGTTAATATCGAGAACACTTCTAATCGTCTTAAACCAGCTCCTAAGCTTTAATCTAATCTCTGAACTGCATTTTGTTAATAACTAACAGGCTCACAACCCATTCACATTTAACATTTTACACAGAGTTTAATTAATTATAATCTTCGCTAGTTTTCTTGTCTTAGAAAAAAATTCGCAGTGCAAAAAGATGTTATCATGAAAAATTGGTTCCACAGTATTCTAGAACAACGTTTTGTTTTTATAAGCTGCTAAGACGATTTATGGTTGTTAGTTTTTCCTCAGCAGCTGTATAAGGCGTAGCTACATTATATGCTTATATATAGAAAATAAATTCACTTACATACTCTTGCTGTGTGTATAGTAATAGTAAAAAGTACGCACGATCGCTTGCTTTCGGTCATATTATTTCAGAACTCATAATAAAGTTTCTGTGGGTCATCGTAATGCAGCAAATATTGTGAAAGTTTGAAATAGTCCAGTTTTGTTTGGCATATAACGTGGTGTTAATATAAAATGATGTGGGAATATACTTAGTTTATGTACACAGATAAGACCTTTTCGTTGTTTGGCGAAACGGAGTAGGCAGGGTTAGCTTCTGCTAAGATCGTTCTATCGAACTTATTGTTACACTTCTGTGTTTCGTCTACTGATTGAGGTAGTCGGGTCCACTTTATTAAAAGGTGACAACGCATCTGCAACCCTACGAATTTTGCAAATGTCCATGGGCGGTGGTTATCACTTAACATCACGTGAACGAGCTTGTTTGCCACTACCTCACATAAAAAAAACTTAATCGATTCCAAACCATGAAAACCTTACAATGCCCAGAAGCGAACAATATAGAATAGCTTTTATTTGCTGCCTTTATTAAAATAGTTTCTTGTATTTACGCGAATAGCGTTATATAATTATGCATAATTATGTATATGTGTCAAAGACTTTTTCATTTCTTTTTTCTCATATTACGAGATATCCAAATAATCAGAAATCCTTCTAATGTAGTTAGTCTTAAACAAGTACATATGTTATAAGTATAATATAAAATTATGCAGTTTTATCTTAGATTATAGATACGTCTAGACTACGTGTCGCCTCATAACAAATTTCAATTTTATGGCAATGTTTCTTAATCTTTTGTGTAAAGACATTGTACTGCAGTTGCGAATTCCAAAGCTTTTGTAAAAATAAGCACAGTTTCTAATTGTTAAACCGCTGCATGAACTTTTTCAACTCGTGCATTCGCGTATTGCTGTGCAATTTGTTTGTTCGTGGCGTGGTAAACGTAATTTCGTGATAAAGAAATTCGCGGTTTACATGCTGAGAAAGTTATTACTTTACTTCGTTGCACCGAGTCCGTTTCACTTGCATGTATTTTGTTCGAAAAGGAATTATTTGTTAGATTCTTATCGTTCCAGGATTTGGAGTATGTAAAGGTGGTTTGATGATCCGAATGGCGTAGTGGGTAGTAAGTAGTAGGTGGGTTCGATCCCCACTACCGGAAAAATATTGTGTTATAAACATATGTTCATATATGTTTATATATGTTTAATATGTATTTATTTACAAAAGAAAAGTGTGTTTAAGTATGTTTATTAGTTATCTAGTACCCATAGTACAAGCGTTGCCTAGTTTGGGACTAGAGAACATTCTGAAAAAATGAATCCTAAAATATTTATTGTTATTATTATTATTATTTGTTTCTAATTACTTTTGTGTATTTTTTTGAGGAACATCCGATTAAACATTTTATTAACACTCTTGAATACCTAATCTGAGCACCAATATAAATATAACGCCCGAGAAGCATTTCTACTGCGTGCGCGTTCAAAATCGAATAAATTCCAATTGGGAATGAAACGAATCAGTTAAATTACTCGTACGAATCCTTTTACGAACACTCAGAAAAACGTATTCCGCTCAATAAATCAACATTCGCTCGATATTTCTACAAACGTGGGATCGCAGAAAGCTAATAAAAACACTTGATTTGCAGCGTTGAAATTACTACGTGTTTCCGAGTTAATTTTTTTCTTATTCGAATCGATGAAACGTGACTGCTCAAGGGTATAGTTCTAGTGCTCCTATTATTCTTGGTATGACAACTGTTTTTTACCTCTGGATAGTGGATAAGCTACAACTAAATATTTCACTTTCTTGCATTTAACCCCTTTTATTTTACATTTGGTACAGTCTTGCGTACTTGGTTAGAAGAATAATGATATTATTATACACCACAGATAGTTGTTTCGCATCTGGGCGTTTGTCCGCGTGCAATTTTGTTTGTAAAACGTCCTTACAACACAGGATAATGTTATCCTAAAGTGAGGGCAATGTTTTTAAAAAAGGAAAAAAAAAAAAAAAAAAAATAATGCTTGGAAAACCAAGTGACGTGATGTTGTAGCGACGGCTTACTGACACGTCAACAAAACAGGTAGCCTCGTATTACGTGATATACGTCTTGATGCTTGATAGCGCCAAGAATAGTTATTCTTATAAGCGGCAGCTTTGAAGTGTTGCTGGTATTAAAAATAGTTATTTTATGTGAAACTTTGGCAAGCGAGCAAGCCTTATTTTTCTGTGTTACCGTCACCCATTGATATTTACAGTACTTGGTAGGTAGCAGATGCATTTCAGCCCTGTAGTCCCGGGCTTTAAGAACAGGACTAAAACTGTCGTAAAAGTCGGGTTCATAGACTATCAATAGTATGTAGTGCAATAGTATGTAGTACTCTACCTGGTCTATGCAAGATGGTGATAGTAAGGGGGAGGTTCGTCCTCCTCCGACGCGTGCTCAAGCGTGGTACCGAGGCACACCTCCTAAGAAGATTACGCTACTTCCTACCGACTGCCACAAAAATTGCTCTTGCACAAAATCTACTTCTTCCAATACTCGACTATGCAGATGTCAGCTATCTAGATCTCACCGAGGAGCTGCTTGATAAGCTAGAGCGTATTCAAAATTTTTGCATAAGATTCATATTTGGCTTGCGCAAGTATGATCATATATCACATTTCCGTGCTAAGCTCAAGTGGCTGCCTATTCGTCTTCGCCGGAATTCTCACATACTTTCTCTTGTTTACAACATTCTGTTTAATCCCTCATACCCTACCTATCTAAAGGAACGTTTCCAATTTCTTTGTGATTCCCCCTCTAAGTCTCTGAGATCATCAGAAAACTTGGAGCTGAAAATTCCTACGCACAAAACAAAGTTTATGAGTAGGTCATTTATTATTAGGTGTGCAAGGGGCGCGACTCTGGAATGACTTACCACTAGAAGTAAGACGTGCTCAGTCATTAAATATTTTCAAGAATATTGTAAAAAATCATTACTTATCTCTGTAATGTTATTCCCTAACAATGATATATGTATTCGTATATATGGTATGTATATATTTATATGTATGTATTGATGTGTATATGTATGTATATGTGTATTTATATGTATATATTTTGTTAGCCTTTTGTATATACATTTATTTATTTACTTACATATTTATAAATACCTTATTATTATGAATTATGATTGTAGATAAATATTTTTCTTTTTCATTAATTTAGTTAACCCACACCTTTATTCCTAAATTATTTATTTTTAATCCATCCAAAGGTTGCCTGGAAGAAATGACTCTTAGTAATAAGGCCGCCCATTATACCCATCACTTCTACATTAAGTTTTAATTTTTGTTTGTTTTATTTTTGGTGTGCAATAAAGTATATTCATTCATTCATTCATTCATTCACACCGGTGCGTTAGCATTATCCTGGAGTAAAAAAAAGATAGTAGATGCGTTTAGCGCATGCGTTGCCAACCATTAAACACGTTGGACCAAGTTACCTCACTGACCAGACGATACGTGGAAGTATAATACACATAACGCCGTTCTTCTGTGAGGCCGTGATACTTACTCGGACTAGCCTGTTCATACAAGCAAGGATAGAACCCTTTTTATGGTTCTACCACAATGTTTATAAATGTATTAGACATCAAGAAGAGTTTCTAAAAATATTTACGAGTCCGGACGCTTGCCTTTAATTCAATATACTCAAGCAATGATGATCATGAAATGATTGCAATGAAAGTGCTGACTTATCAAGGGCTCCGCGGAAAAGCAAGATATCGTGAGGAAACCTGCATATTTTCGATAAATGAAATAATAACAAAAATAATATTTCGAAGATATGTGAAGTCCACGGAGCCGTGATAGCTCAGTGTCCGGGCGTTCGCCTTTATTTCAATATACTCGAGCAACCTCCCCGGTGCCGGCACCAATGAAGTTTTTAAGTTTAAGTGCTGACTTATCACGTGCTCCGCGGTGAAGGAAAACATCGTGAGGAAACCTGCATATTTTCAAAATAATAACAAAAAAAATATTTTTCGAAAATATGTGAAGTCCGCCAATCCGCAGTGGGGCCGCGTGGTGGACTATGCCCTAATACCCTCTGTATAGAGGAGGCCTTTGCCCAGCAGTGGGACATGTATAGGCTGTTACTTATGTGAAGTCCGCCAATTCGTAGTGGGGTCGCGTGGTGGACTATGGCCTAAAATCCTCTGTAGAGGATGCATTTGTCCAGCAGTGGGAAATGTATATTTTATTTACTACACACAATTCAAACAAGAAACACAAAGCCAGACTTAAGAAGGATTTAGTTAAAACAAAAAATACAATTGGACAACCCTAACAACTGAAAAATGAAACAAAAGCAAGAAATAGAATAAAAGTTATAACGCATCGTTCACAGCACTATCAAATACTCGTTGGAGGATCTTATAAACAAACGATACTCACAAATCGGGAAGTCAATAGAGCAATCTGATTTATTAGTCATGCAAATTCCCGAGTCAGCCGCAACCACCGTTATATATGCTCCAGTCCTCAGCAAATGTTTGTTCCAACGTTCCTAAATCCCGTATTCGCTGAAACGAACATTATTTCCAATTATTAGCAGATCGCGTTTGCATAAATGTTAAATAGTGGTCGTGGCCTACCAATGTTTACGATGTGGAATCAACGTCGATTCGGGGCATGGTACTGTTATTACATAATTTGTTCGAAGGAGTTTTTTTAGCAGTTTGTTACTAGATACGGTATTTATAAGAAGATGGCAAGCGAGAATATCGGTTCAACTGATGTTAAGTAATAACCGCCACTGTTGTCTGCTGTTGTGCGTGTTGCAAATATCTGCAGGATTGCAGATGCATTGCCACCTTTTGATAAAGTGGGCCCCGGGTAACTCACTCAGTGGAAACGCAGAAGTATACTCTTCCACTTCACGCCGATCTCCTGGGAAGTCGTGGTACTTCAGATAGATCTGCCCATTTGTGCAACAGCGAAGACTTTTTCGTGGCCCTACGAACCAATTTGTCGGTACTCACACTGGAGTGAATCCTAACAACTGTAAATGATAAAAATGACAAAACAATATATTGCGTAAATATTACGTCTTAAGTAACAAACAGTTTGAAGTAGGTGCTTGCATTGGTATGTATTCTAACTCTAAAACATAAAATTGACAATACAATATGTTACGTAAATATTACGTCTAAAGTAATTTTTTATCATCCACTAAAAATAAAATAAACAATGTCGTGTGGTAGTTAACAAAGACATTGTTCGGTAAATTGGGTACCTTGTTTTGCCGGCTTAATCTAAGAATATATTTATATACAAGAGCACCTTGCAACAGAGTACTTAATAATGTTCCATTGTTGTTATAAAGTTGAACAAAGTAATGCATCGAAATTCATCGCTTATTTAGTAACCGACAAAACCACGACTAAGTTATAATTAATAAACATACAAAAAAGTACACCGTTACTTCGGCATCTCACTTTTTTTATAAAACAGCGATCCTAGTGGTGACCAATCATTGACATGCAATTTTTAAGTGTCATACATTTTAAGTGTTTTGAATATTATTCATTCTTGTATGATATGTAATAAAAATCTAAAAGTATACATTTGTGCCGGCTGTGACATCAAATAGAAAATGCATAGTAAGTGAAACAAAATTTAATCGTCTAACATAACAAAAGATCTCATTACATCACTTAACAGCGATACTTATTTCCAGCGTCTAGTAGTCTAGACCAAGGATGAGCAACGCACGGCCCGCGGGCCGCTTGCGGCCCCTTAAACATGTTTATGCGGCCCGCCAAGCATTTCTATAATTGGATTTATTTTATCGAATTTCTCCTACCAATATATTGTTATAAAATTAATTATAATAAAATGGTAGTATATATTGAACCGAAATATTTTTCGTTCTTTTCTTGTTTGTTTTTACCTTGCATTAAAATTTGTATATGAAATATTTACTTTTTTTTAATTTTATATTTTTTATTCTAATATTTATTATAAATAAAGTTTCGTAAATTATTATGTGCGGCCCACCAAAAAAATTTGAAATTTAAATTGGCCCATTGATTAAAAAAAGGTTGCTCACCCCTAGTCTAGACTGTAGCTGTGTTCGTTGTCTGTTCCCGCAGCGGTTTGAAGCGGCTGCAAAGGGCTCCAAAAGCCACGCTTTGACTGATAAATTCGTGGCCACTGTAGCGGTATAATTCTTAAATCTGCGTCGCTGGGCTCGCTGATTACTCGAAGCGAGCCGAGCGTAAACAATAAATCGGTACGGCCCCTCGCACCTGAACGATGCTTCCAAGCTAGTACTTGAGAAACCTCGTTCCTCCATAAGAAATTTAGTTGGGATCGATTTTTAGGGTACCGTACCCAAAGGGTAAAGTGGGACCCATTACTGAGACTTCGATGTCTGTCTGTCCGTCTGTCACCAGGATGTATCCCACGAATCGCGACAGTTGGACAGTTGAAATTTTCACTATTAAAAACAAATTTATTAAACAACAGAATAAGAAAAATATTTAAGTGGGGCTCCCATACAACGGACATGATTTTTTTACACATCTTCCGTCGGATTCCAGTCGATTCGCACCACGTCTCGTTTTCGCTCGCCGCCGCTCATTAAAAGGTAGCGAAGTGAAAAACTGCGCGCGGCATAATGCAGGTGTAAAATTTGCATTTTAACGACCACCGCGATAACATTTCCGCTTATAATTAAACAACGGAACACCCTCTGTTAGTTTAAAATTTCAGTTTGTTTTATTTTCATTGCGAGGCAAGTGAGAGTGTTTGCATTTTCAATTGCAAATATTGCTAACACCACTTTCGATTGTTATAAATTTATTTCACTATGTACGAGAACTTAAGAAATCATTTGATGAAATCCGCTACGTTGCCAAGAACGCTTCCTCGTTTTCTCTCTGATTGGTTTACTCTTTGAGCGAATTACTTTGAATTAGCTCTTTTATAAGCAGTATAAATGATAAATCAGGGTAATTAAAAAGTGTAGACATCTTTTAGTGACTGCGTTGACATAGTTAATATTCTCTATTGTTTTCAAATCTGTCAAAACTTCCTAATAACTTTTGAGGTAATACATAACTTAACGGTGGTAGGACCACGCAACAGTGTTCGCTGTTGCACGAATGGGGGGGTCCGTCCGGGTTAGTACCACGACCTCACAGAAGGCCGGCGTGATTTAGAAGTTGTTGGACTTCTGCGTTTCTTCTGGTGAGTTAGGTAGCCGGGGCCCACATTATTAACAGGTGGCAACGCATCTGCAACCCTACGGGTGTTGCAAATGTCAATGGGCAGGAGGTTATCACTTAACATCTGGTGAACCGCCAGCTCATTTGCCACTTTCTGACATAAAAAAAGGTCCCGATTGGCCTAGTGAGTGATCCTGCCCCATGCGCTAGTCAGTATGGGTTCGATGTCCATTTCTGGAAATATATTGTCTGATAGTGTTTATATATTTATAATATACTAGTGACCCGCCCCGGCTTTGCACGGGTGCAATGCAATACATATGAACCTTCCTCTTGAATCACTCTATCTAGTTAAAAAAACCGCATCAAGATCCGTTGCGTAGTTTTTAAGATCTAAGCATACATAGGAACAGACAGACAGCGGGACGACTTTGTTTTATGCTATGCATAGCAAAGAGACGTTTATATTTCAAGTAACATTTTACCACAGTCACTCACTTGTTTTGCGTCCCCTGCGTCCCCTGGCAACACCGCGAAATGTCAAATGACACAACTTTCTTGAAACCCGATCGAACCGATTGTTTTTGTATCGAATCAAATGAAAATAGCATTAAAAATCTACAAAATAGTCGACCTATTATTTAAAGAAAATCCCAGGAGTTGCGGATTCAATTACTATTAAACTTTTTAAGCACAACTTAAACTCAAAATCTTCCTCTACATAGTTTCAAGCAATATTATTGTGGACAAAGAAATAATCATAAGTCAAAGACAAAGACAAAACTTCTTTATTCGATGTAGGCTTATTTTGAACGTCAATAACAACTACCCCTTCAGTAAACTAGACCTGTCCAGAGAAGAACCGGCAAGAAACTCTGCGGTCGCGATTGTGTTCACAAGTTATATGCATTACGAAACTCCAAGCTGAACTCGCTTAAACGTTGCTATTTCTTTCCAAATTTCCGCTGAAAAATAACACCCGATTTTTTTCTCAGTCGACGTGGGTCATCAATATTCATCTGTGTCACGCCGCCGCGAATTTATTAGGTCGAGTCATATCATTAAGCCTCGATGGGGATGGCGGATGTAACCTGCACTTTTATAACCTCGTCTTCATCAATAAGTATACGACCGGAAGATTTTATACACTTTTAAATACCTTTCGTCTATCCAACGGTGGCTTGGAGGAAATAGCTTTTAATAACTAGTGACCCGCCCCGACTTCGCACGGGGGCAATGTATTATATACAGCGTGTCGTTACCATCGCGACAATAAATGAATACACATATAGGGGATAACTTTTAAAGTTGTATTAAACATTTTAATTATTTAAACATCAATATTTACAGAGTAAATAAATTTTCCAAAACAAAGAATTTTAGAACACCCATACCTATAAAAGCGTAACGTAAAGTTCATTTGCTAACCCATTCATATGCTTTGTGAACTTTATTCACAAAGCATATGAATGGGTTGAATGAATTAAAAAGAGACAAAATATACTGTTAGAAGAAGAGGCTTGTAATACGACGCTGTGGCGCGAGTTGTATAGGATGTTACAAATATTGTTTCTTTTTAACTTAATTAGTTTGTTTGAAAAATATTTTTTTTTTAATTATGGATTTTGTTTAACGTTAATATTTTTTTATGATTATTGGCAAGTAGCGTTAGACGTGTGTTCATTTATTGTCGCGATGGTAACGACACGCTGTATACAAACCTTACTCTTGAATCACTCTATCTGATAAAAATAAACTGCATCAAGATTGGGTTGTTTTGAAGATCTAAGCATACATAGGGATAGACAGACAGCGGGACGACTTTGTTGACGACGATACTATGTATTAGCGCTGTTCATTGTACTGTGTTTTGCATAGTTTTTATGTACTATATTTCTTTCGTTATAGATTTTTCTTCATTCAACGGCTGACGTCGAATGAAGAAAAATCTATAACGGCATATAATTTATCAAAGCTGTTTAATTGTTAGAAAGGAAAATATGTGAACATATACAAACATACATACAGATAAAACACATAACCCTCTTTTGGCTTCGCCACAGTCGGGTAAAGAATAGGTTTACTTTTTTGTTTCTCGCTCGCTAGTTCCAAACTAAGCAACGCTTGTACTATGTGTTATATATAACTGATAAACATACTTTTCTTTTGTAAATAAATACATATTGTGGATATATAATGACCCAGACACTACAAACACAATGTTCATCACACAGTATTTTTTCAGTAGTGGGAATCGAACCCACACCCTCCGGTGCAGGAGGCAGTTACATTAGCCAACACGCCATTCGGATCGTTGTTTTTATGAAAAAAGTATTTCATGCATTACTTCAGCGTGTATAACTTATTTCTATTCCGAATTGAATTCGTATAACTGTCTCACTATTACACACAGAAACATTTTCACTTATTAGTGCGAATAAATACAAGTTTCAAGAACGTTATAAAAATAGTGGCCATATGAAACTCAACTTAGTTTGCGGTAACAGCAATCAGGTAATGCGCGCCGCATTTATACGTTAAATACGGTCAAACTTCAAACTTAAGTTGTAATTTCAGTTCGTCACGGTTTGGAGTTCTTATTTAATTTTAGAGAGCGAAAAGTAATGTCTTTGTAAAATAACTTCGCAGACATACAGGGGGAAGGCGTCCATAGACTCTTCGGCCCTGATTGCACACATAAAACTATATGGAGAAGATACAAAATGCAATATGAAATAAGGAACCGAAGAAATTACCTTAAGTTCGGATTTTTTACATATTTTTACGGTGGTAGGGCCACGCAGCAACGTCGGCTGTTGCACGAATGGGCAGGCCCGTCCGGGTAGGTACCACGACCTCACAGAAGACCGGCGTAAAGTGGAAGTATGACAAATACTTTCGCGTTTCGTCTAGTGAGTGAGGTAACCGGAGCCCAATTTTCAAAAGGGTGTCAACGCATCTGTAACCCTCGGGTCTAGCAGATGTCCATGGGCGGCGGTATTCACTTAACATCAGGTGACCCGTCTGCTCGTTTGGCAACTTTTCGCATAAAAACATATTATTGTTTTAATTTTTCATGAATACACTTAAGCAATTTCCCACAAATCTTCGTATTCTCGTTATAAGTTAATCAAAATTCAGGGCATATTATTCATCCGCTTGTATTACTATTAGGTTGAGGAGAATTTGGTTCAGTGTGTATACTAGGGCATCATAATTAGTACGGTAACGAGAAATTAACAAGATTTTTTTGAAGTTTAACTTGTTTTGACACGTTGTGAATATGAGAATAATTTTTACGATGCGCGCGCACACCGACCCCAAAAATTAAATATAATAAAAATTAGATATTTTTGTTTTTATTATACGTGTATGTATTAATATCTCTATATCTAATATATAAAATTCTCGTGTCACAGTGTTTGTAATTGAACTCCTCCGAAAGGGCTCGACCGATTTTCGTGAAATTTTATGTGCATATCGGCCATTTCTCATCCCCCTAAATGTTAAGGGTGTACCACCCAAACATTTTTTTCAACCCTACAAATAATTTATATACGAAAAAAACGTTTACCGGGTCAGCTAGTATATGCATATATTTACATACTTACATATATGTTATATTTCAGAGAAAATTTATTAATTTTCATTTTTATAATCTTCGTTTAGCAACAGATGGCGGGTTTTCACCATGACAAGGGTTGACTGGAAGATCATACCATTAAGTCCGCCCATTGCAGCCCTTAGCTTAAGGTGTCGCAATGGAGCTTGAATAAATAAATAAGTACATAAATATCTAAGACAAATCAACGGTGAAGCAAAAGTTTATAGCGTAACTGAAAACAACGGTTCGTATCTTTCGTTATTTTTTCATTCGTTCTCGTTTTCTTTTTCGTTCAGCGTTTCACGGTTGACGCGACGAAAATTTTGCACTGGCGACTAGACAAGATAATTCAAAGCGCAGTTAATTAAAAATTATACTATTCGTGGATTTTACCCGTTTCAAACAAAACATATTGTGGTTGTGGATTTTTAATTTAACATTTTTTTTTTTTAATATAGCAACCGATTAATTTTGAACGTTTTCTGTGATTGTTTTGTATTATACAGCGTGTCTTTACAATCG